ATCCTTGCTTCTAAGGAGCATTCTGGTTGTAGTTCTTCCAAGACGTATTTGTTCATTCTTTTGGCAGTCCATGGTATATTCAATATTCTTCACCAACACCACAATCCAAAGGCATCAGTTCTTCTTTGGTCTTCCTTATTCATTGTCCAGTTTTTCATGCATATGAGGTGACTGAAAACACCAAGCCCCCATGGTACGACAAACTGACAGACACGTAAGGGTTATTATGTAGTTTTTTCTTTATTTTTTATTGCTGCACAGTACTCAGTTGTATGAATATTTGTTGTTAGTTGTTAGTTGCTGATGAGTTGGCTCCAACTCATGACGACCTTAGGTATAAAAAACAAAACGTTTCCTGGTCCTGCACCATCTTCATGATTGTTGGTATGTTTGAGTCCACTCTTGCGGCTTTTGTGTAATGCTTTCCAATCTAGGAGGCTCATCTTCCAGCACTATATCAAACAATATTCTGTTGTGATCTATAAGCTTTTCATGGGCTAATTTTCAAAAGTAGATTGCCAGGCCTTTCTATCTAGTCTGTCTTAGTCTGGAAGCTCCACTGAAGCCTGTCCACTATGGGTGACCCTGCTGATGTTTGAAATACTGTTGATATAGCTTCCAGCATCAGAAACACGCAAGCCACCACAGTATGACAAACCAACAGTTGGGTGGTGGGTGTGAATATTTCCACAATTTATTTACCTATTCTACAGTTGATGAACATTTGAATTGTGTCTAGTATCGACTACTGCAAATAAGAGTCTATGCATGTTTGTACATGTCTTTTGGTGGATATATTCACTCAATCCTCTTTAGTGTATACCTAAGAGTGGGTTAGTGGGTCAAAAATGCAAAAATATAAATGTAGTAGATACTGTCAAAACATTTGCCAAAATGATTTTACCAATTTAAACTCTCATCAATCTTGCCAACACTTGGTATAGGCAATCTGTTTACAATTTTATTTATTTTATTGGGAGTTTAGAAACAAAACTGACATTTGTGTATTGACCTTGCACCTTGCTGAATTTGCTTATGAGCCCTAGTGACCTTCTGTGGAATCTTTGGGATATTCTATATGTAGGATCACGCCATCTGTGAATATAGCTTTGCGTCTGTCTTTGCAAATTAGATGTCTTTTATTTCTATTTCTTGCCAAACTGCTCTGGCTAGAACTTCTAGTACAGTACTGAACAGAGTGATAAAGTGGGCATCCTTGCCTTGCTCTTGATTTTAGGGGGAAAGCTTTCAGTCTTCCACCGCTAAGTATGATGTTAGCTGTGAGTTTTTCATAACTGACCTTTATCGTGTTGAGAAATTTCCTTCTTATTCCTATTTGCTGAGTGTTTTTATCATGAAAGGGTGTCAGATTTTTTTTTCAACTATGTTTTATTCATCTGTTGAGATGATCATGTGCTTTTTATCCCCTTTGCTCTATTAATGTGGTGTATCACATTGACTGATTTTTTTTTATTAAATCACCCTTGCATTCCTTTGCCCTCACCTTATGCTCTTATTGTCACAAATTGCATCTTTACACTTTGTGCATCCACAACTTATATTTGCAATTATTATTTTATGCAGTTGTCTTTTAAATCAAACAAAAATGCATTTATACTGTCTTTTCTGTTTACCTATGTAGCTACCTTTACTGTGTCCTTTATTTCTTCATGTGAATTTGAGTTACTGTCTAGTGTCCTTTCACTTCAACCTGATGGACTCCCATAGGATTTCTTAGAGAGTAGGTCTGTAAGGAACAAACTCTCAGGTTCTGTTATCTGGAATGGTTTAATCTTTCCTTCATTTTTAAGGGATAGTTTTGTCAGATATAGAATTCTTGGTGGACGGTTTTAGTTTTTTTCTTTCAGTACTTTGAATCTGTCATCTGACTGCCTTCTGCCCTCCATGGTTTTGATGACAAATCAGCTATTAATCTTATTGGGAATCCCTTGTACATGATTTGTTGCCCTCTCTTGCTACTTTCAAGATTTTGTCTTTGTCTTTTGATAGTTTGGACCTCATGTATCTGAATATAGATCTTTGAGTTTACCCTACCTGGAGTTCACTGAGAACTGTAGATGTTTAGATTAGTATTTTTAATGTCGTCTGGAAGTTTTTAGCCATCCTTCTTCATATGTTCTTTGTACCCCTTTCTCTTCTCTCCTTCTGGGGTTTCCTTTACGTGTATGTTAGCACATTTGATGGTGTACCACAGATCCATGAGGTTTTATTCATTTTTCCTTATTCTATTTTCTCTCAGTTCCTCACACTGGCTAATCTCAATTGACTTAACTGTAAGTTAGCAGATTCTTTCTACTGCCTGCTCAAATGTGTTTTTGAGACCCTCTAATGAATTTTTCATTTCAATTATTATATTATTTAACTCTAGAATTTCAACTTGTTCCTTTTTATAACTTCTATCTCTCTATGTATCTTCTCCATTTGATGGAACACCATTTTCATACTTTCCTTAATTATTTAGACATGGTTTCCATTAGGGCACTTTGTTGGGATCCCAATCATTCTTTGAAGCCATAATACTTGTGGTCAGAACTTCCTTACTCACAAGCAAAGAGTCAGGGGCTAGGTTTTCCCCTCAATAGAATCTTGTGACCGCCAACACAGCAGCAGTGCTACTCAGTGACTCAGATGTGGGAGGCTGCTGGCATCTTCTCTTAAAATATCTTTATTCACAATGAGCCCTCCCGCAATATTGGTATTGGCTCCCAGCACCTGAGGTAGTATATTCGTAGCATCAGTTCCTTTTCCCTGTGGGAATCAGCTTTGCTCTTGTTAATTAACCAAGACAACAGCTTTCAATATCAAACAGATATTGGCCTTAAAGGGTGGGCTTAGGGTCCAGAATTTAGATGCAGGGAAGGTTGACCCTTAAGTGGGGAAGAAGAAGAAAGAGCTCCAACACCTAGAGCGATAGGAAAGAGATGAATATTGTGGGGCATGTCTGACCATCTGTGGCTATGGAGACCTTTGTTTCCACTGGGACAGATGCTGGGGGAGAAGTTATGAAAGTGAAATATCATTTCTTATAGGGGTTTATGAGTGACAAAAAAGGAAGAGTCCATTACCCAGAACATTAAGTGGGTGTGTTCTCTGTGTATCCATTACTGTGTATATATGTAGGTGGGGTAGGGGGGAAGGTATATGCATCTGTATGAGGGTTGGAAGCTAGCTACTGATCTCACTCTAGAGCAGCCATGACCAGGTGCACTTCTCTGAGGATGGTATTTGCCCCAAGTCCTAGCCCTGGCTTCAATCTCCCATTTGTGGTCTATTTGTCTTATTAAAAGTAGTTCTAGAAGATTCTAGATAAAGATCACTTCTAACTTGTAAGGTAAAAAATGCAGCCCTTCCTTCAGTACTCATTAAAATGGCAATAACAGACTACAGGGGAAAAAAAATCTTCCCTTTCAAACAGATTGTGTGAAAGTGTGCTTTGGAGTGAAGGTGAATGAGCACAGCACTTCCAGCTTCCAGCAGGAAGAAGGCATTCTGGCGAAGCTGATATTACCTTGTGTTTATGATGCTAGTAGGCAGGCGGCCAGATTGGGTAAAAAAGGAGGAAAAAGTAAATTAATTACACCAGGCAAGGAATGCCTTCTCTGTATTTAAAGTAATACTGGGCAAAGGGGTTTATAAAAGGGGACATTAATCTATGTCTGTCTCTTGCCACTTTAATATATAAATAGTATTTGATTTGAAACTGTTTAATTATTTTACAGGAAAGTCAGTTTTAATTTTCCTACTCCAGTTGTTTGGGGGAGTGGGTTGTTATGATTTAGATGCCAATAAAAACATTTTTTAGAAACTTAGCATACTTTTTTGGAGAGCAGTCTTTTCACTTCATCTCACCCTCTGTGTATAAACTAGTGTGATGATTATATGCATAGATACACATAAACATAAAGGATGGGGTGGTAACACACCCAAAAGAAGAACTAATTAATTTTTTTGCAAACAGCAGGTAACTTTTCAGGGCCTGTGTATGAATCCTGTGATAGCTACAGATCAAGAGATAGATATGTTAAAGAAAAATGTCTTCATAGACCTAAATATCAAAATAGAATTAGAGTTTGGGCAGACAAGGAAGCTGGCAAATGTTTAGTATAGCTAACACATGCTTTAAAATAAGGAAGAAAGTTTTTATTTATTTATTGTACTTTAGATGAAGGTTTACAGAACAAATAGTTTCTCATTAAACAGTTAGTACACGTATCATTTTATGACAATGGTTAACAACCCCACGACATGTCAACACTCTCTCTTCTCAACCTTGGGTTCCCTATTACCAGCTTTCCTGTCCTCTCCTGCCTTCTAGTCCTTGTCCCAGGACTGTTGTGCCCCATTTGTCTCATTTTGTTTTATGGGGCTGTCTAATCTTTGGCTAAAGGGTGAACCTCAGGAGTGACTACATTACTGAGCTAAAAGGGTGTCCAGGGGCCATAATCTTGGGGTTTCTCCAGTCTCTGTCAGGCCAGTAATTCTGGTGTTTTTTTGTGATCCCGGTCAGAGCAGTCAGTGGTGGTAGCCGGGCACCATCTAGCTGTAGTGGACTCGGTCTGGTGGAGGCCATGGTAATTGAGGTCCATTAGTCCTTAAGACTAATCTTTTCCTTGTATCTTGTTTTCTTCATTCTTCCTTGCTCCTGAAGGGGTGAGACCAGTGGGGTATCTTAGATGGCTGCTCACAGGCTTTTAAGGCCCCAGACACTAGTCACCAAGGTAGAATGTAGAACATTTTGTTTATAAACTGTGTTATGCCAACTGAGCTAGATGTTCCCTGAGACCATGGTCCCCACAGCCCTCCGCCCAGCAGTTCGGTCCCTTAGGGAGTTTGGGTGTGTCTATGGAGCTTCCATGACCTTTGCTTGTACAAGTTGTGCTGGCTTTAAGGAAGAAGTTTTAACTGTCTTAATGTTAATGAGTAACAGATTTAGGAGGGAAATTCAGTGTGAAGTTCAGTTAGAAAAAGAAATACTCCAAATGTTAGTGAAGATTTTTTCATCAAATTCCATGGTCCTTTCAGTGCATCTTATTCTCCAGCTCATCATGCTTTCCATCTGGGTACAAGGATCAGGTAACTTCTTTTATTTTTTCTCTCGGGTGCATAAAGCTAATGCTGAAATCTATGGCAAATAGATCCCCAGCCATAGTTTATTTACTTCTGCATTGTGTTTTAGTCTAAATGCCAAGCATGCAGCACTCCACGTTCTAGGCATTTAGCAAGCAGTTTAATTTAAACTGCTTTTAGTATAAAACAGAGAATGAAAGAAAGGTGGTCAGCACTGCTTCTAAAGTGTATCCCAGCAGCTCAAGCTGGAGGCCACATACTAGCTGGAGGCAAATGAGCTCTTTGCAAATTATTATTTTTTTCTGCAGTGTTTCTTGTGAATATAACCCCGCACTATATTTGCCTTTTAACTTTGAGTTTGGCTTGCTTGAGACTCTTCTTGGTGGTTAAAGAGATTTGCATCTATTTCTATTTTTGTCTCTTGTCTCAGGTTGTTGCTGTATCTTAGGTTGCGGTCAATATATAATTTTTCCACTTGGATAACCAATTGACCCAGCATCATTTATTGGAAAGTCATCCTTTTCCCAATGCGGTGTGGTGTCTGTTCCATTTGTCATATATATCAGATGGCTGTATATGTGTGGGTCTATTCCTGATTCTCTATTCTGTTGTATTCATCTATTTTCCTATTTGTTAATCAATATCACATTATATTACTTTAGCTTTATATCTGGGTAGTAAGTCTTCAGTTTATTGCTTTGGTTATATATATTTTTATTTTAACCTTTGAATTTCTATATAAAACTTAGAACCAGCTTGTCAATTTCCAAAAAAAAAAAACTTCTTGGATTTTAATTAAGTTTGCACTGAATCTAAAAGTTGTGGTGATATCTTTCCATTTATTTAAGTCTAATTTGTAGATTTTAGTAGAGAGGTCTTGCACATCTTTCAATAGATTTTATTCCCAGATATCTCTTTACTTTTATTTGGAGGGGTGTGCACAGTGGTTAAGAGCTCCGGCTGCTAATCAAAAGGTCAGCAGTTTGAATCCACCAGCTGCTTCTTGAAAACCCTATGGGGCAGTTCTAGTCTGTCGTATAGGGTCGTTTTGAGTCAGAATCGACTCACCAACAACAGATTTGGGTTTTTTTTTTTGGGTGCACTATGGTAAATGATATGTTAAAATACTATTTTTCTACTTGTTTATTGGAGATATATAGAAATGCAACTGATTTTCTTAAAGATAGACTTTATTTTTAGAGCACTTTTAGATTTACAGAAATATTAAGAAGATAGTTCAGAGAGTTTGCATATGCCTCCTCACCCAGTTTTCCTGTTGTTAACGTCTTAGACTAAGATGGTGCACTCGTTACAATTAATGAACCAATATCAGTACACTACCACTAGTTAAAGTCTATAGTTTACTCATATTTCCTTAATTTTTGCCTAATGTCCTTTTTCTGTTCCAGGATCCCACCCAGGACACCACATGACATTTGCTTGACATGTCCCCTTAGACTCCTGGCTGTGACAGTTTCTCAGACTTTCCTTTTTTTTTTTTGGTGACCTTGACACTTTGGAGTACTTGTCAAGTATTTTCTAGGATGCCTCTCTATTGGAATTTGTCTGATATATTTTCTTATGATTAGACTGGGGTTATGGGTTTTGGGGAGGAAGACTACAAAGGTAAAATGCTATTTTCAAGATATCATATCAAGCAAGGCACATACTATCAACTTGATTTATGACTGTAGATATTGGCCTTGATCACCTGGCTGAGGGCACGTTTGTCAGGTTTCCCCACAGTAACGTTATTCTTTTTCCTCCCTTTCCATACTGGACTGATTGGAAGGAAGTCACTGTGCACAGCCCACACTTAGGGAGTGGGGATTTATTCACTCCCTACTTGAGGGTGGCGTATCTGCATAATTATTGGGAATTCTTATGCAAGGGAGATTCTTCTCCCCATTTATTTATTTGTTCAAACATTTACTGATAATCAGTACAATCTAATAGACATTTATTTTGTGGTTTGTAACATCATACTTTTCTTATACTTTATTATTTTATACTTTAAATCAGATAGTACTTTATTTTGTTTCTCAAAACTTTCCAGCTTTTCCTGTTGGGAACTCTTTCCATTGCTCCTCTGTTCCTTTGACATGCCCTCGTCAATGTAGGGTCTCTTGTTTTTGAGCACTTCCTCCTTATACTCGGCATCTACAACAAGATGCTCCAGGCTCCCCTGTATGTTTCTTGCCCCAGTCCTAGGATCAGCTGTTTCACTAAGGAGCCCTGATTCGTTTATTGGAGAATGGTATTAGAAATAAAGATGTGGGCACTAAATGAGCTCATTGCTTCTATGCCCTCTCAGCTGACATATCAAGGAAGTATATGTATGTATACTAACCTGTGTATATACAATATTTACAAATATCTATAACTTTCTATAAGTAACCATCTGATGTATATTTATGCTAAACATGAGCTCGTACTGATGTCTCCAACTCTAACCCATTACAACATTTATCATCTTAGTCTTTCCTTTTGCCTATCTGTAACCTCCCACTGCAACAGTGAGAAAACTGGCTCTTATCATCTGCCATTCATTTACTTAATTGTTCACTTCTAGTATACATGTATAGCAGTATCAGGATTATTCATCTGTATCCTCATGAAAATAACATTATCAACTAGAGTACAGTGCTGATGTGCAATTCCTTTTGCCTCTAGTCTTACAGACTCTATTCATTTTTAAAGTTACTTAGGTCAGCAGCTTTTCCCAATACCCCCTTCACTGAGGTTGTTTCATGTATTTGTAATACAGTTAGATTCTTTTTGTCGCAGCCTACAGTCCTTCCCAGGACCCTTTGACCTCCTGAATGATATACATATATTTTTTAAACGGCATACATTATAGTTCACTCTTTGTGTTGTAAAGTTCTATGAATTTTGACAAATGCATATTGTCATGTATCCATCATTACAGTGTCAAAAAGAATACCAAACCAAAACCCATTGCACTTGAGTCAATTCCAACTCATAGTGACCCTATGACTCGGAGTAGAACTGCCCCATAGGGTTTCCAAGGCTGTAAATCTTTATGGAAGCAGACTGCCACATCTTTCTCCCATGGAGCAGCAGGTAGGTTTAAACTGTGGACCTTTCAGTTAGCAGTTAACCACTGCACCAGGGATCCATCAAAAAGAATAGTGCCCTAAAAATTATCCTTGCTTCACCTATTCAACCAGTCTCCCCTACCCCCGAAGCCCTGGCAGACAGTGATCTTTTCACCATTTTCAGGATGTCATATAATTGGAATTATATAGTTATTACCTTTTCAGACTGGCTTCATTCACTAAGTACTATACATACACTGTTCATCCATGTCTTTTCATGGCTTGGTGGTTCATTTATTTTTATCACTCGGTAGTATTCCATTGCATGGGCATATCACAGTTTGTTTCTCAATTCACCTATTGTAGGCTCTCTTGGTTCCTTCCAGTTTTAGCAATTATGAATAAACCTGCTATAAACATTCATGTGCAGGTCTTTGGGTAGATATAAGTTTTCAACTCATTTGGATAAATACCTAGGAGCACAATTGTATGTGTTTGTAGGATTGTATGATAAGTCTAAGTTTAGCTTTAAATGACCAAAATTTCTGCATAAATAGCTGTACCATTTTTCATTCCCACCAACACTGAATAAGAATTTCTGCTGCTCTGCATCCTTGTCAACATTTGGTATTCTCATTTTCTCTTTTGGATTTTAGCCATTCCAATAGGTGTATGGTGGCATCTCATTGCTGTTTTAATCTGCAATTTCCTAATGAAAATTAACTTGAGCATCTTTTCATATTTTTATTTGCCGTCTCTATATATTCTTTGGTGAAGTGTTTGTTCATAACTTTTGCTCATTTTGTAGTTGAGTTTTGGTTTTCTTATTGTTGAGCTTTAAGAATCCTTTGTATATTTTGGGTACAAGTCCTTTATCAGATATATGATTTGCAAATATTTTATCCCAGTCTGTAGCTTGTCTTCTCATTTTATTTATTTTAGTTATTTGTTCTTTCTCTGCTGAATTGCTTTGCACCTTTGTCAAAGATCAGTTGGCTATATGTGTGTGGGTCTATTTTGGGCTCTCTATTCTGTTCCATTAATCTATATCTCTATTATTTTGCCCATATCATACTATCTTGTACTTTACTGTAGCTTTATAGTGTCTTGAAGTGGGGCAGGATCAATCCTCCAACTTTGTCTTCTTCTGAAGGATTGTGTTGGCTATCCTGGATCTTTTCCTTTCCATATAAACTTTTGATTAAGTTTGCTGATATCTATAAAATAGCTTGCTGGGATTTTGATTAGGATGGCCTTGAGTCTATAGATCAATTTGGGCAGAAATGGCATCCTAACAATATTGAGTTTTCCAATCCATGAACACAGAATATCCTTCCTTTTATCTAGAACTTCTTTGATTTTTTTCATCAAAATCATATCATTTTTTTGCATATAGATCTTGCACAGATTTCATTAAATTTATCCAAAGTTTTAATTTTTGGTGCAATTGTAAATGCCATTTTTTTAAAAAAAATAGATTTTACTTTTTAGAGTAGATTTTGGCTTACAAAGAAATTGTGCATAAAATACAGAGGTTTCTCATGTAACCCCCCATCTGCACACTATTTCTCCTATTTTTACATCTTGTATTCCATGTGTGTGGCACATTTGATACAATTGATGAACTATTATTTTTAACTGAAGTCTATAATTTTCATTAGGGTTTATATTTTGTGTTGTATAGTCCTATGGGTTTTGAGAAATGCATGATGTCATGTGTCCATCATTACAGTGTCATACAGAATAGTTTCACTGTCCTAAAAATGCTTAGTATTACCTATTCATCACTTCCGTCATCCTGAACCCCCTGGCAACCCTGATCTTTTAACTATCTGTATAGTTTTGCCTTTACCAGAATGGGCTTATCCCATATGTGGCCTTTTCAGACTGGCTTCTTTCACTTAACAATATTTGTTTAAGGCTCCTCCATGTCTTTTCATATCTTGACGGTTCATTTCTTTTTATTGCTGAATAATATTCCATTATATGAATGTACCACAGTTTGTTTATCCATTCACTTATTGAAGGTTGCTTCCAATTTTTGACAGTTATGAATAAAGCCACTATAAATATTAATGTGCAGGTTTTTATCTGGACATATGATTTCAACTCATTTGAGTAGACTCCTAGAAGTATGATTGCTTGAATTTATGGTAAGGCTGTGTTTAGCTTTGCATAAAACTGCCAGACTATCTTTCAAAGTGGCTGTACAATTTTTCATTTCCATAAGCAATGAATTAGAGTTCTTGTTGCTTCACATCCCTGTCAACATTTGGTGTTGTCAGTATTTTCAATTTTAGCCATTCTAATAGGTGTGTCATGGCAACTTCTTAGGTGTAACTGGAAAGTTACAGGTGACTGGAGTTGGGTAATTGTCCTTCAGCCTATGTAAGAAAAGACTCTGGCAAAGTCTTTTCACTGGAGAGGAGGCTCCTGTTATGAAAAACACACTGGATGTTTAAAAAGTTTTTTTACACTCCCTCTGCCAAAGACATGAGATTATTTTTCATGGCTCTTCACCATGAGAACCTGGTGAGGTTCCTGGAGGTAAAACCCATTAAAGTGTGAGGCTCCTGCACCCCCTAGGAGTGTGTCACTCTCAATCTCATCCACATTCAACCAAGAAAAATTTGTCAAAACTACAATTTTGACAATTAAACTATTAAAAAGTTAACAAATTTAAGTATTCTTATCAGTTTATGACTTTAGTGTCATTTGTTCCAAGTGAGCTTATCTCAGCTGTATTTTTCTGTATTTGCTTGTCTCTCCAGATTTCGGGGTGATAGTTTGCTCTACAACATCAATTCTCTAAAGGTTCCAAGAAAATCAGTAATTTTAAGTGTTTCCAAATTTTTGTTGTTACTATAAAACAAGAGTGATGTTTTTCAAATTCTTTTCATGTTAGAGTTGAAATTAGAAATCTTACAACTGATTTTGGAATATTAACCTTTATCTAGCGACTTGTTAACTTATTAATCCTAATAGTTTGTAATTTTTTAAATAACCCGAGATATGGCTGCCAACCCTCATCTCACCTCTGAAGACTCCCTCATCTCTTAAACTTTATTCCCTCTGGTTCTCCTTGGTGTTGCAGTTCTCTGATGCCTTTAAATAAATTATTATGTAATCAATCCAGATTTTCTAGCTGTTATCAGTGGAATTGTTGACCTCCTGCAAACAATCTAAAAAGGAAATTTTTGAATATATGTATTACTTTTAATTTTTGGTCAATTATGTTTTGTATGTTGTGACAATTTGAATGAATGAATATATATACATATATATACATATACATACATATATATACATATACACACAATGAACACATTTCGAATTTCAGTTTAAATTCTTATTAGATAATAACCTAATCAGATGTCCTTTTTCATTGCCATATAGTATCAAGAAAAAATGTTAACAATTTTTTATCAGCCAACTAAGAAATTGTGACCTTCTGAAATATGTGAGTCACTCCCTCTATATCAAAGCCATCACCAGTATTAACGCACTATCACAGAGATTTGAGGAAATCAGTCCTTTTGAAGGAGCTCTCAGGATGATTCTTGGCTCTTATCTTTAAATTCTTATGTCCTATATTTTTCCTACTACCATGCCCATAATCACCAACCCCTCAGTTTATATCAAGTAATGATATTCTTAATTATAATATACTAACTAAAAAGGATTTTTTTTACTAACAATAATCATCTTATGTTAATTAATTTGTGTTTCAATTTATGCATTCAGTAAATGTTTATTGATTAGCTGGTGTATACCATAAATAGTTTTAGAAACTAAATATTCAGTGGCAATGAATATTGGGTAGTTCACTGTCTAGTGGGGAAGAAAAGAAAGTAAAAGACAGTTTTAATACAGAGAGAGAAAAGCGATATGATGTAAGGTCAAGGTAGTGTGAAAGTACATTTCTTTTATTTAATACGGGCTGTTTTTTTCCAGATTCTTTTTATAGGATGAAGTACAAAAATAACGAGACAGCCGTATTGGGAAAAAATGTGACTATATTCTGCAATTTGACAACTCCAGAAGATGTTCTGCAAATTACTTGGCAGAAGATCCAAGATTCTTCACCACAAAATATTGGCACTTACAGCAGTAGATATGGGGCAAAGATTCTTCCACCATACCTAGATCGGCTGCACATTGAGCCCAATCCCTCATTCATTACTATCCATGAAGTGACATTTGAAGATGAAGCCTGCTACAAATGTTTATTTAATGTGTTTCCACATGGCAGCTACGGAGGACAAATCTGCCTTAATATTCTAAGTATATAAGTGTTTTCTGGAGGGGTAAATTGCTAGGAGAAAAATCATGGGGATGTAGTCTTTTAAGAATGAGGCTCAGAGAAAGAACGTTAGAGGTGGAAAGACTAATAGAGTCATATGGGCCAAATCCTTCATTGTATCTAAGAAAAAATGGAAGCCAGAGACGGCTCTATGAGATGCCCGTTGTCACCGAGTATAGGGCTGGGGCAAAGAATTTAGATCTTCTGTCCTCTTTTCTAACTTCTTTATATTACACCACACTGGGTTTAATCAGTGGCTAAAATTCATAGAGATTCAGGATTTTCTCACTGCAGAGTTGGGGAAAGAGCAGAAAAGAAAAAAGAGACACTAAAGAAGGAGCAAGAGGAGAGGTGAAGACTCTAAGAGAATAACGACCTCCTACTTTCAAATTTAGGAGCCTGGGGGCAGTGGTTAAAGAGCTAGGCTGCTAATCAAAAGGTTGGTGGCTCGAACCCACCAGCCAGAAAGGTTGGTGGTTTGAACACACCAGCCAGCTGCTCTGTGGAAAAAGACATGGCAATCTGCTTCCGTAAAGCCTACAGCCTTGGAAACCCTATGAAGCAGTTCTACTCTGTCCTATAGGGTCCCTATGAGTTGGAATGAACTCATGGCAGTGGGTTTGGTTTTGGTATTTTTAGCCTTAAATTTAATAAAATGTAATACTTATTTCCTTATTATGTTGCCATAAATTTAAAGTACTGGGGGGTTAGATAATGTAATTTTAAGACTGAATAAAAAGTGAGATACCAATTGTTCCTCTAAAACTGGAGGGCCTGTCGGTAGGTATCGAAGATCGAATTGTGAGGTTTTGTAAAATGTGAGAAGTAGTATCTGAGAGGGATATAGTGTCAACATTTTGGCTTCATATAAAAATTTTAGGGAAGACCAAAAACACCATGGAAGTCTGTCATGACATATTTTTACTTTTAATTTTGTTTCTTCTTTTTTCCGTCAGCTGTGTCTGAATTAAGGACTGCACTCCAGTCCAATCCCGACTCTGAGGGTTTTCTTACAATTATTTACTCAGCTATGGGAAAGCCTGCTCCTCAAATATCTCTTTCCCCCTCACGAGTCCTGATTAATCCACCTGGGCAATACCATGCTCAGAACCCAAATGGCACAATAACTGTCACTAAAATGGACAACATTTCTCTGGAGACTGCGCGTTCCCTCGGACTCCAAAACGTGATTGTGCACATGGATCATCCTCTAAGGCACGAAGAGAAGATTGTTCCTCTTCCGGTTAAACAAGAATGTAAGTAAAAGTGATAGATCAACAAGGCGAAATACTTAACTTTCTTCAAAATTCATTACCAGAAGTGTTTGTGTAAGACATTTGTTTAAACAAAATGTAAATCAAAGTAGTACGCATACATGGTTAAATGATTCGAAAAAGGACGAAGCTCCCTACCCCAGTCCTGTTTCCTGCAGAGTTTTTTTTTTTCTCTTACATGGCAATTTTTTAATCTATCTCCTTTACAGGTTTTCGACTGAATTTCTGCCACAATCAGAGAAGATTAAGCTCATTTGCAACAACTTTTCCTCTCTCCCTTACTCACGATGTAGTTTCCACTGAGAGATGTGAAAAGACAGCTCAGTTTTACTGCTACTCCTTTGAAAGAAATGTCTCTCCCTCTGAAGAAATGTATTTCCCCCTTTGAAAGAAATGTATCTCCTCCCCTGCTGCTTTGCAGATTTCCTCTTTGCCTTTGTTTTTCAGCAGTTTTATTATGATGGGCCTAGGTGTGTGTTCTTTGTATTAATTCTGCTTAAGGTTCACTTAGCTGGGCTTCTTAATCAGTGGTATAATCAATGTCTTTTATTACTTTTGTAGAATTCTTGGCTATCACCTCTTCACATATTGCTGTAGAATACTCACCCGCTGTCCACAGTTCTGATTTGGGTGTGGAAATGGGTGCTTTCTACTGAAACATCCATTGTATGACTCATTCTCCCCTCCCCCGCCACCCTTTTTTGGCCCTCAGAATCCTGGGCCTCTCCAGGTTCTGCACAGCTGTCTCTGCAGGTGTATTCTGCTCTGTGCATCCATGAGGCAGCAGCTTCTTTCATCCTGTATTCCATTGGCCATTCCTCTATCCATTTTTGATCTTTGGTAAGTTTGTTTAAATCTCTTGTCCCCTGAGGGTCACTCTTCTGCCCGTTGCTTTGCATTTAATCCTTTTTATTTGTGTTGTTAGCATAATTTTAGCGGAGTCTCAGGACGGAGTAGAGATAAATATGTTTGTTACGTCTCTCTCTTGAAACTGAAGTCAATCAGTTCCTGTTTCTTAGTAAATCTCCCCAAATCACAAGATTGGAATATGCCAACTATTATGGACTGAATTGTGTCTCACAAAATTGTGTGTTGAATTCCTGGCCCTTGTAACTGTGGATGTGATCTTGTTTGGAAATAGGGTTTTTCTTTTGCTATGTTAATGAGGTCATATTGGATTACGGTGGATCCTAAATCTAATCACTTCTAAGTTATAAAAATACCAGAACAGACACAAAGACACACACGAGGGAAGGCAGATGCCATGTGAGGATTGACTACAAGCCAAAGAATGCCAAAAAACTAAGGAAAACCTTGGGCTGCTGATAGAGGGGATTGACATAGCCAAGACCCTGATTTGGACTTTTAACCTCCAGAACAGGGAGAAAATAAATTTATGTTCTTGAAAGCCACCCACTCGTGCTGTTTGTGTTACAGCAGCACTAGGTAACTGAGACACTAACTGAATATCATATGCATATCCGACATCAATCTATCAGTGACATGCTGGTTAGAATAATATAGTTAAATTCACTTCTCATTGAGATATAAAAGTAAGTAAAGAAGTAATTTCTCAGTTCAGAAGAGGATTCTCCCCCTTGCTTAGCTTGGTAACAAATGTTAGGGATATAAATCCCCGATTCTTTTGACATCTTACGTAGAACTTTTTTTCTATACTTTATTATTGTTGGTTACAGAGCTGTGTTCACATTTTAGTGCTAAGTTCTCCACATCCAGCCTCCCTCACCTATTTGGAATGAGCTATCTCGTACCTTACTGAAAAAGAACATTGGTAAACACTAGAAACTGGGCCAAAATAATGGCTGAGCATGCACAAATAATAGCACAAATTTCTTTAAGTAAAACACATGCGCTTTCCTAACTATCTCAGGGAAGAAGACACCACTAATAAGGATTTCTCTCCTCCTTCAATGCTCATGGAGAATTCAAAGCAACAAATTTAAAAGAGGTGAGAGATTACTATGAGCAGATGAATGACAGCAGTCTGACAATCAGGAAGAAGCCAGAAAAAAAATCCTATTAGGAACAACAAACCTAAGAATGCAAAATGCATGCTAGTTGCGCCACTTAAAGGAAGCACAGATTTCGTAAAGGTCTGTCCACAAAGTGTATAGGTTCATTTTTTTTTCTCTATTTTTTATTATGGTGACAACATACACACCAAAACATCTGCCAACACAATTTCCACATTTACAGCTCAATGATATTGATTACACTTTTCATGTTGTGCCCCCATTATCGCAAATCTCATTTAAAATATTTAACCATCTTTAACATAAACTCAATGCCCCCCAAACAAAAACTCCCCCTTGCCTCCTTCCTCCACTCCTGGTAACTATTAATAATCTTTAGTTTTTATATATTTGCTTAATTTATGTAGGTGAGATCATACAGAATCTAACCTTTTGCAACTGAATTATTTCACTCAGCACAATGTTTTCAAGATTCATCCATGGTATGGCATGCAGCAGAACTTCTTTCCTCTTTATGGCTAAATAATATTCCTTTGTATGTATATACCACATTTTGTTTATCCACTCATCTGTTGATGGACATTTTACTTATTTCCACATTTTGGTTATTGTTGAAAGTGCTGCAGTGAACATTGCTGTACAGGTTCCTGTTTGTGTTCCTGCTTTCACATCTTCTGGGTGTATACCTAGGATTTTGATTGCTGGATATGGTAATTCTATGTCCAACTTTTTGAGGAACCACCAAACTGTTTTCCACAGTGGCGGCACTGTTTTACATTCCCACCAGCAGTGCATGAGGGTTCCAGTTTCTCCACAACCTTGCCAACACTATTGTTTTCCATTTTTTTGGTCATTGCCATTCTGAGATATGGACAAATTGCAAAGATTTGTTTAACTATATAATCCAATTTCATGAAATTATATAGGTGAGGTGATGTCTCATTGTGGTTTTGATTTGCAGTTCCTTAATGACTAATGATGTTGAGCATCTGTTCATGTGCTTGTTGGCTATTTGAATATCCTCTTGAACTGCCAGTTCAAGTCCTTTGCCCATTTTTGATTGGGTTATTTGTCTTTTTGTTAAGTTGTTAGGTTGATTTTTTTTTTTTAATATATCTCAGAGCAGTCTTGACAATCAAAATGATGGGCTTTTTGATGAACTCATATTGCAATGAAAAATTTAAATTATGTTAAGGGGGTTACATAGAGATTTTGAATACAATTTAGTAGCATTGTGGTCAAAATAGCTACTTTTAAAAGTGTTGATGCTCAAAATTTTGTTTTTTCTCATGAGAGTGAAGACTCTGCAGTCAGGTAAAATTGAACTTATTTCTTAGTTTTGTCACTTAATTTCTGTGTCTCTTTGAGTGATATTTTTTAGCATCTCTGAGTCGTTTTCTCATGTATGCCCAACAATTATACTTACCCGGTTGGTATAAATAATCCCTGTAAGATGCTTTAGCATATTGCCTAGTTCATTAATGTTGAATATCAATTATTATTATTTTCACAAATTTACCTTCTGAGTTATATACACTCTTGGAAGTTTCATTTTAGTAATTACATAATATTCTATCAAGTGACTATATTATATTTTGTTGTGATTGAACATTTAGGTGGATATATCTGTTTTCTTGTTCTTGAGAATGGTAGAATATTAACATTATATTAAGTTTCTTAAGTTTTGAAGAACATGTAGCAGCATGAATATACATTAGCATATTCTTTTATAAAGTGGTATATGGCAAATAATCTTATAGTATTATTTTGAATATCAACAAAGCAATGGCAAATCAAAACAGCATTTCAGGTTACAGGTGCCAAAATGTCAGTGCAGTGTGTATATAAGATGTATAATCACAAAGAGTATGCTCTGGTTTGTGTTTTTCAGGTATTTCCTGGTCTTCATATGTTCGGAAATCTACAGTTGGGGCACTCATATCTTCTTTATGTATGATTGCAGTTATCATTGCTCTCTATACTGTTCAAAGACAGAAAAAGTAAGTTGCATTACTACCTGCCTATGACTGAGAGGGTAGGTAAAATAGGGCTAGTTTAAAATATAAATGTAAGCATATGCATACATAGGTGTCTTAGGCTGAGTTCTCTAGAGGAGCAAAACTAGTGAAGCATACACAGGTAGTCGCTGACTTAGGATGGGGGTTCCGTTCCAACAACTCCATCATAAATTTTTTCCAACATGAGTGGACTACTGCTTTTTTTTTTTCTTAGTTTTCATTATTATTGTAAATGGTTTCTGACATGAGTGGGCTACTTCTTTTTTTTCTTAGTTTTCATTATTATTGCCTTTTATTATCATTATCTTTATAAATCTGATCTTTGTCTTTGGGGATTGAAAACATTACATATAAACTTACAGATATATTTTAACACATACATAAAAAATACACAAATCATAAAAATTTACTCTGACGATGAAAAAGAGTTGGACGGCATTGGCATTTTGTCAGTTGCAGTAATAACTCCACTTGTGGAAGGTTCTGGATCATTTGGATTATCCTTGGGAATGGGGATGGTGTTTCTAGTCAGAAAATTAGAGTTGTCTGTATGGTCTTTTCTTTTTCTCTTCATATATTTCTCAGTAACACTCACTGCTTCCCAAGTCTATCAACTTGAGCAAAGCAATCACCTTTTGAGTCCATGTTTTTAAGCAACTGAAACCCCTGATTTAGTTTAGAAAAAACTTCAGCTAATCTTTTCACTGTAAAAACAGATGGTCATAAGTGTAGTTTGTCATAACTTGAATACTGAATAAGTCAGGGACTACCTGTATATAAATATATATAGAGAGAGATTTATTTCAAGAAAATGACTCATGCAATTGTGGAGGCTGGCAAGTTACAAATCTGTGGGTCAGGCAGCAGGCTGAAAGCTTCTCTTGACTCGTGTGGTTGCAGGGGCTGATGAACCCAAAATCTGCAGGTCAGGCAGCCAGCTGAGACTGCTCACATCCCAGGAACCAGAGGTCAGAGGATGACAAAATGAATGCAAGGTCAAGAGAGAGAGTTTTGCCAGAGCATTCATTTTTATATCTTGAGTGCTGGTTATACCCCCAAGCAAAAGCCTCTTCCAACTGACTGGCTGCTCATATCGTATCACAAAACGGGAGGTGATACATTCATTGTCTGCCAAATCACTGAGAATTATAGCCTAGCCAAGTTGACACATAACATTAACCATCACAATAAGCATATATAAATATAAATAAATATATATATACATATAAAATCCAAGGGCTCTGTCAAAGCTCTCTGCCATGGAAAACTCTTTTCCATTTGCTTGGTAATACCTACAGTCTTTATTTAATCTTGTTAGAATGATACCCTGTTTGAGACTGGGGTAACTTGAGACTGTTAGCAATCATTTATGCTTATGGCTACTTGAGTTTGAGATTTTTTTGTTGAGTACAGATTTTGCTAAGAGAGACCATAAGGATCTCCGACACCTTGTGGGAGGTGGTCCACTGAATGATGAAAAAGGGCTGAGACTGGAAACTTGAGATAAGTCCTTTCAAAGCCATGATGCGGCTGAATGTGACATTTATACTGAGAACTGAGCGAGAAAATAAGGTGTGAGTGAAATTCTTGGCAAAGACTGTTCCAGGAAAAAAGAATGGTGAGTTCAGGCCTCAAAGTAGGAACAATCTTGGTGTGTTACAAAAATAAAAATAAAAGGCCAATGTGGCTGAAAGAATTATTTGGAAATGGCAGAGGGGGCCAGAACAAGTAAGGCTCACAGGCCTGGAATGGGATTTGGGTTTTTTCTATCTTCAATTTCAACCCATTGAAGTGTTTAAAACAGGGTAGTTAAGGCTCTAAGTTACACTTTACAAAGATCTCTCTAGCTGGAATAAGGACAGTGTTTTTTAGGGGTCCAGAATGAGAGGAAGGTGATTTTTAAAGAGGATATTGCAGGAGTCAGGACAGGAGTTGACTGTTGTCTGGGCTAGTGTGGGGGCAATGGGATGGAGGGCTTAGGGGTATCAGGAAGACAAGAATTGCTGACAGACTAGATGTGGAAAACAGTGAAACAGAAGAGTTAACCTGATGATTTTAAGCTATTTGTCATTCGAGGAAGGAAGTTTTTACAAATATGAGAAAGATTCGAGGAAGAAAAATTTTGGAGGAAGGATCAAGACTTCAATTTTAAACATGTTAATTCTGAAATGTCCATTTGACATTCCAGGGACCTGGAGCTGTAAATTTGGGAGCACAGCCAGTATGCTCTCAAGGAGGACAAATCATAATTTATGACTCTCACTATTAAAGAGTGGAGATAATATGCAAGTTGTGTAATTGGAGCATTTTTATATTGAACTATGTCTTTGAAGTGGAGTACCTGGATGGCACAAGTGGTTAAGTGCTCAACTACTAACCAAAAGGTTGGTGGTTCAAATGCATCCAGAGCTGTCTAGGAAGAAAGTCCTGGCAATCTGCTTCTGGAAAGATCACAACCATTGAGAACCCTATGGAGCATGGGTTCACCATGAGTAGGAACGGACTCGATAGCAAATGGTTGATGGTTATGCCTTTGAAAAGCACTCTGGTCAAAAGTCCTATTAAGAGAGGTTGAATCTGAATCTTACCATATTTTATTCATAGCATACTCTTACAGTGCCATTAGAGGGAGTATTTGGGCTGTATAATCATCTTGCTACTTCTCTAGCTCAAAGAAGACACGTGATCCAACACCAGAGCTGAGGCAGTCCCACCTGGAGACCCTGGTGAGCGATGACTTTCTTCGCAGACACATGTGATGAGCAGGTGCTTGACTTTTGCAGTCACTGTGCATTTCAAATGTAAGTTTTAACCTTCCAGATCAAATTATGCACTTGGAGCAGCAACAAACATCTTAGAAATAAGCAGATGCAAAGATTTGTTTAACTATATAATCCAATTTCATGAACTAGTGGGTTCAAATGAAGTTATATAGTATTAACGTCTCTGAATGTTTCTATTCACCCCCACAGGCTGATTCAGGTCCCATCACCACCATCTATAGAATGGCTGCTTTAATTTGCATTTTTTTCTGATTATTAGTAAGTAGGAGCGTGTCTTTCTATATTTGTTAGCCATTCAGAGTTCCCTTCCTGTGAAGTTCTTGTTTACACATCCTCACGTGATACCCAGTTGGTTGTCTATATTTGCTAAAATTCTTTATATCCTAGATTCTTTACATACTACATATTGATTTATTTTCCCTATTTGGCACCACTCTATTAAATTTCTCAGTTATATCATTAAATGAATGAAATATTTAATCCTGTAATGCTGGTAAATCTATAGATTTTTCCCCTGAGAGTTTGAGTTTGGGGGTCTTATTTAAGAAGTTTTCATCTACCTTAAGTTCACAAAGATATTCTCTTATATTTATTAGCTTCATATTTTTACTTTCCAAATTAAATCATATTGTTTTGTTATTTTTTACTAGCTATTTACCATGTATTTATCATTTTTACTATCAGTTATATCAGTATTATTTCTCATCTTTAATTCTATATTGTGTTTATTTTTATTTTTCTAATCAGAGCCCTGCTGGCGTAGTGGTTAAGAGCTATGGCTGCTAACCAAAAGGTCGGCAGTTCGAATCCACCAGCCACTCCTGGGAAACCCTATGGGGCAGTTCTAGTGGGCTTACTCTTATGTGTCCTGTTTGACACTCTATGAGTCCTTTCAGCGTATCTATTTCAAGTTCCTGCTTTGTGGTTGTTGTTTTTATTAACTCAGTCATTATTTTATTTACAGGCCTCCATTTCTTCCTCTCCTTATGGGGCTCTTCCCATTATATAGATATGGGTACTCTCTGAGAAAGTGGTTGAATGAGGAGAAGGAAAAGCTTTGCAGATGAAAGGTTATTTCTTTCCTGAGTTATTGATACTCTCTTTGAAAAAAGTTTCTGAGGCCTGAGTTAAAGAGGTAAATTTAATTAACTTGTAGATAAGATAGTCTAGAAGCAAAAGTGAACCTCAGAGAGTGTCCCAAGAAAACAGGAGTGGTTAAGAAGTTGAATCCATTGTCTAAATTTGAAAGGAACCATAGATTACTTGTTCAATACATAGCAATTTTACAGCCTAAATTACAAATAATAATAGTCACAGTTCCTGAAAGCTTACGGTGTGCCAGTATTTACAAATATTATTTCATTTAATCCTTGCAAGAGATTATGAGTTTGGTACTATAATTGTCCCATTGTCCTCCCTCTGCCTGCAGCATGAGATAATTAAGCTACTTGCCCAAGGTCACACAGCTATTCAGTGATGGAAGTGGTATGTGAACCCACACAGACTGGTTCCATGCCTGTGGTTCCATTTGCATGGGGTCCTATTCTTATAAACCTTTTAGACTAACTTTCCTATTGCTTAAATGTGTGACTTTCCTACACTTTCGTTTCCATGTCTAAAATGAATGTAAGCATAACAGTTGTGGTTGTCACTATCTAACACATAAGAGTATCAAAGTAATTTAAAGGTTTTGAGGGGAAAAAATATGCTTGGAAATAAAAACCTCTAATTTTCTGTGGTATCTCAGTCTCAGTAGGGATATGCTCATATGGCATATACTCACCTATTCTCGACCACATGCCATGCTGTGCCGCATGATGCACCTCTGGCCCTTAGGAAAAAAAACTCGGTCCCACACCTTGTCAGCGGGCCATGGGAGTAAAACAGAAAAGGCTTCAGCACGCAGACATTTTACTGAACTGTTTGTTCTTTTTTTTAAAATGGAACTTGCTACAGTAAGAAGAATCACCACCACCACCAAGCTGAAGGAGAAAGGTCACGTCCGGAAAGCAGAGAGCATTACAGAGTTGATGGCTTGAATATATAATTTCACTTTGGAAACAAATAATAAATGGAAATTGCTTTTTTAACTGTCCATTGCTTAAATTAAACATATGGGATACAGAAAAAGAAATTCTTTCCATTTTTCAAAATTGTTTCCTATTTGCCTGCTCCCATTTCAATGCTAATACAGTTCTTTAAGTACTTCGTCTTCCGCACCTACCGCCCCCATTTCCATTACGTTCTCTGTCCCGGAAACAGCGATGACAAACGCTTTGAAGAAAGGATGAGTGTGAATGTTAATCCGTTACCCCTTGCTATACAGCCGATTCTTACCCACGGCGACCTTAAAGGACAGGATAGGACTGCCCAAAGGGTTTCCAGGGCTGTGATCTTTACTGAAGCAGACTGCCACAGCTTTCTCCCGCGGGGCCGCTGGGGGGGTTGAACCCCTGACCTTTTGGTTAGCAGCCCAGCGCTTAACCACTGCGCCACCAGGGCTTCTTGTATAAACGTTAATCTTCTCCAAATAGATTTGAAACTCTCCACACCTGGCCTCCTCTCATGTGTTGGGGGTGGGAGGTTAGAGTGAGAGTATAAGGCTACGGTGCTGGGGCGGGGAGAAGTGCAGGCGGCCTGTGAGCACATGAGTCGTGTTTCCACCCCAGCCTTCACCCGCAGAGGGCTAGAGACGCACAGCGTGTCCTGCGCGAAAGCTGAAGCCAGCTTTCCCCGCGGACCCGAGCGAAGATGGAGAGGCTGGTGAGCTGGGCGAGGGGCTCGGGAGGAGGCAGAAGGACAGCGATCTTCAGCCGGTGGCTCTGGGGCGGCGGGGGGTGGGGGGGGGGACGTGCGAAATTCGCGGAGCTTGGCTCACGCAGTCCCTCCCGGAGCTTGCCAGTGGCGGTGATGGCAGCGCTTTCCCCTGGGCGCTTAAACCTTGCTGAGAAGCGGATTTGCCTTCCAAAGGTTGGTTTACAGGTTGTTCCTGGCGTCCGGGATCGCTGTCCCAGTTCCCGGGGGGAAAAAGGATGCCACCAGGCGAGAGCTCGGAGGGTGCTTCTCCCAAGATCATTGTTATCCTGTGAGAGGGTCTGGGCCAGGGAGGCGCGCGCGCTGGCGGCCGGCAGGTCCTGTGCGCAGACTCAGGCTCCAAAGGCCGGGAAAACGCATCCTATTTTAAACTGCCCCAAGAAGTAGGTGAGGGGCTGCTGGATTGCCTCCGTGTTGGCACCAAGGGCTGGGGGTGAAGCGCATGCAGTATTCAGGTCGCGCTGTCTCCTGAGAGACCATTCCCTCCTTAATGCACCTTCCCCTTTCTGGTCTTCTGGGAGCTTCCCTTGGGAAGCCAGGAAGCATCAGCGGAAGCCGCAGCAACTTGTGAGACAGAATTGAAATGATCTGTGATCGATCATGATTCTTTGAAGGGTTAAAACACAGGGTATCCAGAGAGACAGACATCTTGTTTATTCAGGATCTGTTTACATGACACAAAATAAAGGGGAAGGTTTTCATTGACAAAATCCAAGTGGAACTAACCCCTCAATGTAATTATTTCATATATAGGTTACTGTCAAGATCACACAGCTGTGTTTTCAGCAGGATTCCATGGCTGCTAGCTAGGGTCTATGGGTGCTAGCTACTCCTTTAATTTTCACAAATAACCCTTCGAATAAGGAATTGTTACTCGATTTTACAAATAAATAAACAGGCAGAAAGTTCCTTTTCCACGTCCATGTGACTGCATGTGGTGGGGTCAGGATTTGGGTTTCAGGGTAAGAGGTATGCATGGGGCAATGTAGCGTCCAGGCTGGCAGTGGTCAGGTAAGACAGGCCTCTGTAAATCCTGGCTGTGATGGGCAAAGGCTATTAGTGGATTCTGTGTTTCTGTGAGTAGACGCTCACGGAATAGTTTAATGAATTGTATTTTTTAGCTATCTAACGTGAATTGACGTTTACCACATCCTAGGCACTCTACTAAATGCTCTAAATGCTTAATTCTCATAATAACCTGTGTCGTTGTAATAACAGCCACACTTGTTTAGTGCTTATTCCTGTCAGGCCCTATTCTAGGAGCTTTATATATACTAAGCCATTTAATGTTTTATAACAGAGTTCAGCGCTGTTATCTTTCCTTGTGTCTCAAAGCAGTAAAATGATTTGTCCTAGTTCACACACCTAGTATTTGTTTTTGCCCAAACTGTATTCGGTTAGAGTCTATGCTCTTAGCTACCGTACAACATTGTCTCGCAGATTGCCTCCCTGTAAAAAATAAATGCTGTTATTTTTGGGTTGGTGATATCTTCAATTACTCTGCATGGACTAGAGGCAAAGAACCGTATAAAATAAAAATACATATATATTTTATAACAAGGCTTTCCTTCTAATTTCCTTTGCTTCAATCACTGTGTTGTTATTTCTTAAACATTGCTGACCCCCAGCGCACACGTCTTATCTTACGGGATGCCTTGCTTTCTCGCCTATCTTAAAACACGTATTTTTGTCATGAGAGCCAACACATTCTGCGTTTCATATCACAGACTTTGCCAGAGCCTGGATTTCCACGTGAAACAGAGGCATGATGGTTAAAAAAAAAAAAAATGACGTGGAATTGGAATGCCAATATCTGTCTCCAAGATTGCCTGACCTGGAAATAAAACAAAATGGTTCCGGTATCAGCAGCAGAGCCTGAGGAAACATTTGGCCTGTATTTTCTAGCTTTCCTACAAAATTAGATCTGTTGGGGTAGTTTCAGTAATACCATGGGTTGTACTGACTAAGAAAATGATTGAGTAGTCCCTTTGTGAATGTAGTGGTTGGTAGGAGGCAGTGAGATGAGCAGGTGTTGTATGCGTGCTATATCTTTTCAGAACAGGTGCATCAACTCTCATTTCCTACAGGGAAGTAACTTTGTTGTTCTGGAATCTAGAAATGTATGCACTACGGTCATTGAATAAGTAAGTGCCCAGAAATGAGTAGCTCTTAGTAGTTGAGGTCACAGATGATGCATACGCCTTTCAGAAGTTGTTAGAAAGAAGGCAACCTGTGACCTGGGCCTTGCTAAGTTTTGCCACTGGTGTCCAAAGGCAGGACATATGGTATGGGCATCCGATAGTGATCATCATGAAAGCAACAAAGTACTAACATTTGCTAAACACTTACTTTCTACTCAACAATTTATATACAATTCATTGAATCAGGCTCATTCAATCAATTTCACTGAATGTGCATAAGAAATTAGAAATCCTGGAAGTGAAAAATACAGTCTTTGATATAAAAATCTTAGGAGAAGGGTTCTAGAGTTGGCTAGACATGTTTGAAGAGAGGCTTAGTGGATTGAAAGAGAGTTTTGAGAAAATCCCTTAGGAGGTATCCCAGAGATACATGGTGAAGCTGTAAGAAGTTAGAGAGAAGAATGAGAACCTTCCTCCAATAAGAGGTCTCAAAAGAGAAGGTACAGAGAATTGGGAAGATGTAGTATTCTAAGAGGTTATAATTCAGAATTTTTCACAATTGGTAAAGACAGCGGTCTTCAGAATGAAAAGGCATTCTGAATCTGTAATAGCAAAAATAAACCAAATATGCATTTGAACACCTCGTAGTGATAAGAAAATAAAGTGCTGCAAGAGCTAAAAGACAGATTCTTATACTGGCTGTTATGGATTGAACTGTGACTCCCAAAAATACCTGTCAACTTGGCTGGGTCATGATTCCCAGTATTGTATGATTGTGTACCGTTTTGTAATCTGATGTGATTTCTTTATGTGTTACAAACTCTATCACTATGATGTAATAAGAAGGATTAGCAGCAGTTATACCGATGAGGTCTACAAGATTAGATAGTGTCTTAAGCCAATCTCTTTTGAGATATAAAAGAAAGAAGTGAGCAGAGATACATGGGGACCTCATACCACAAAGAAAGCAGTGCCGGGAGTAGAGCGCATCCTTTGGACCTGAGGTTCCTGCGCAGAGAAGCTTCCAGACTAAGGGAGGACTGATGCATCACAAGGACCTTCCTCCAGAACTGACAGAGAGAGAAAGCCTTCCCCTGGTGCTGACACCTTGAATTTGGACTTGTAGCCTACTAGACTGTGAGATAATAAATTTCTGTTTGTTAAAGCCATCCACTTGTGGTATTTCTGTTATAGCAGCACTAGATGACTAAGATAAATGGTGAGCAAGAAAAAAGTGTAACATGTCAAAAATCTAATTATTGACTCTAATGAAAAGATCACTAATGGGAATATTTCTATTAGAAATTAATTTTTGTAGTTTAAACAAGATGGAACTAAAAGGCTAGGCAATAATAACATGTAATGTGAAAAAAAGAAGTTCAGGGTGAGTTGAAAGAGTATCAGGTTCCACATTTTTTCCAAGAGAAGCATAAAGATACTGGTTAACTTTGTACTATGCTAGAAAAAATAAATAAAACAAGATTTTTAATAATAGAATAATAGAAGATTGTTTAGCTTTCAAACTGTTAAGGGAGATAGGACTTTTACAAATTTAATTAATAACTTGTAAAATAGTTTAAGGGCCGAATCAGTTAAATAGATGACAAGGACTACAGCAATAGCTTCCAAATAGAGCTCTTAGGAGTCCTAGGTTTCTACAGAGGGGCCCCTACAGTGTGGGAGGAGAAAAAACAAATAAAGGAAGGGAACATATGAAGTCTCCTAACTCTACTTCAACCAAGGCTCTGATTTTATTATTTATATATGTTAAAGTTCTTCGTATAATTTATTTGAAAAGAAATTCCTTTATTAAAAAATGTTTATAATTTCAACATGAACACATTTCATGTTTAGATTTACAACATGTTACACTTTTTCCTTGTTCACCTTTGCTTTCTGTGTTCTATTGATTCTTTCTGGATTCATTTTCCTTCTTCCAAAAGAAACCCCTTAGTAGTTATTTCAACAATTTTTAGACTTCTACAAATTTATCTGGATTTGGAATTCTATATTAACAATGTAGGAAGGCTGAGTGAAACCCAGGAGAACCAGAGGAGGCTTCACAGAAACCCTGAGTCTTGAGGAAAGAGACAGGACTTAGAAGAAGAAAAGGCACAAAGAAAGCATAGAATGCTCATAGTATGCTTGAGTATCAAATAAAATATAAGCAAACAGTAATTTGTCATAATGACTGGTCCCTTCAGGTGACATAACTTTCAATTCTCTGTGCCTTAGAGGTGTAAGGAAGAAGCAACTTAATGCCACATAGATCAATATCGCTGGCCACCATGGTCTCAGTCCATGGGGATCTAGGCAGAAAATCTATGGAATTGGTCTTCCCTAGCTGAAGACAAGAAGGCACTTAGGCATGAGGTGGGACTGAGACGGGGGAAGAGAGAGATAAGACAGTTATCCCTTCCAGGAATCCATCTCAAAAGATCTACAGAACACTGTGATGGAGCCTTTATATCTCTAACAGTTACAGTGGGTGCTGGAGAAGAACACTTGTAGAACAGGACAGTTTCTATCATGATGTTTAGTGACATACCTTCACCCAGATTGCTACAAATCTGGTGCTTCCACACACAGCTGCTTCCAGGGTGCAAGTTGGCCCCAGAAAAGCTGAGACAAGACTGATTCCAGTGTTTGTCACCTCATGTATCACAAACCACACACCATGGCTTGCACAGTCATACCTTCTCCCCAGGGCAGTTGGGGCTGTTCTTCTTACAGCCACACCTCTAGGGAAGGCTACTTACCTAGGTAGTAGGAAACCTTTCCTCTATTAAGTTCAGGTCAGAGCTTATTAACCAAGAGAAGAGAAAGGCTCGTACTAACCAGAACTGAGAATTTCATGTAGTAGGCAGAGAGGAGGATATGGTATTGGGGTGTGTCCCACTGGACAGGAAAAGGAAAGAGAAGTCCTTGAAACAGAAAAAGGAGAGATTCAGACTCTGAAGGACTCTATTTCCCCACTCCATGGAAGTAAGTCTTTAGGAAGAAGGATTTCATAAGACAATAGAAACCTCAGAGAAACTGAAAGGCAAACCAAGAAATCCAGCCTAGAATGTTGGCAGCAAATTAATGCTAGCAAGCAAGTCATTGTTTCCAACAGAAATGGCAACAGTGGGAGTTAGGTAAGGCAGACATTCAGAATGAGGTGATGGGATTTCCATAGGTGGAGCACCATCCTTTGACAACAATCTTGACCCTAAACCAAGGCCCATTAAATGGTTGTGATCCAATATCTGGGAATAAGCTTCAAGTTATAGTAGTAGAAACTGGGACCAAGCAGGGACTTATAAGAACATAAATTCAGAATAGGATGCCTTTATTGGATTTGTGGTGGCAATAGATGCGAGCAAGGAGAAAGTGGCCAGGATATCTTGCTAAGACAACAGGATTTGGTATATACTGAGGTTCTTGTAGGAAGTAGGACAGGCAAGAAGGTCCACTACTCTATAGAAGAGCATGATCACACTTCTAAGTACCATAAAAAAGTAGACTGGGACATCCTTGAGGCGGAAAAGGCAGGCAGGAGACTTTCCAGCCAAGCAAGTAGTCAATGCCCCAACTCTAGGAATTTAACACTGGCTGAGGGAGAACAGTGTCTTCAAAATTAGCAGGTTTTGTTTTAGTAGTAGTAGTTTTTTTTTTTGTTTCTTTTTTTTCCCCCCACTGATAAGGGAGAATGGACAGACTGGAAGTCTTGGAGAACTAGACAGATGGAGAGTCCCAAGATAAGCATGTTGGGAGCAGTCTGTCAGGGTGTGATGGGCTGCACAAGTGTGAAGAGTCTAATGATTGCACTTAAGAAGAGGTCATCTTTGAACCTGAAAAACAGACTGGTGTGTTCAGATGGCAGACTAAAGGAGAGAGGCACTGGGCAAAGAGACGTCAATCTGCTGGGAGCTGCTTGGAGCACTAACACTCCTAACAGACCTAGGCACTGAGGTGACTGTAAATGGACTTATAAAAAGTAAGACCTAAGTAAAAGTTAGGGAGAAGACGTTTCAAGTAGAGTGAATGGCTCAAGCAAATGTGCCAAGGCAGGAAATTGTATGGGGAATTTAGAAGTAAACAAGGCTCATGGCATAGAGGGCATGTGTAGAGGAAGACGAATTTGCACGAATAGAAATGTTAGGCTAAGACCTTTAAACTGTTTTCTCTGGACATCAAGGAGCCGTAGAAAGTTCTTAAGGGGGTGGCCACTTGTGCAGAGAAGAGTTTAAGGAAACTTAATCTGTTAATAGTAGGTAAACATATAAACTGATAGTAAACTTCATGAGGACAGGGACTGTGCCTGTCTCATCCACTGTTGTCTCTAAAACATCTAGCACAGTGCCTGGCATGAGGTCAAACTCAGTAGAGATGATGAGTGAAAGAAGTATTAGCAAAAGTTCATTGAGAAGACTATTGAACAAAATAGCCAGTGTTGGGAGATGAGGCCTGGGTAGTAAAGGAAAGGAATGGATACGTGAAAGAGACTCCACATGGGAGAATAGATTGTCTATGGTAACTAATTACATGACTAGGAAGAGGAAGAACAAGAAGTCCAGGATGCCTTGAGTGTCTGGGAGATAAAGGTCCAGAGGAGAACCTATTTGTGATAAAAATAATAATGAATTTGGTGTTATTTACACATTTATTCATTCACTCAGTCCTTCATTCATTTATTCATTCAACTGACAACATTTTACGCTGGAGGAAAAGCGTAAATAAAGGCACTAAAGCAGGGAAGAGCTTGGCAATTTCAAGGCATTGAAAAGAGGACAGTGAAATAGAGCTTGTTGTGCAAGGAGGAGAGTGTAGTGACATGACGTTGGAGATCCTATTCGTAGGTGCTGAGCTGCAGATTGGGTTGGGAGTTACTTTATTACTAGCATAGTTTCTAGACAATTACCCAGTGGCCTAGAGATTGCTTGGCTCTGTGGCAACCAGGTTAAACCAACTTCACAGCTGCATCTAGCATGTTGTGCCAGGGCAGCAAAGCAGGGACTGTTGTTGGGTGACAGTTGGGTAAGCTCTCACAGCATGATTTGATCTCAGGCAGTGACAACATAGTTTTATATTTATACATCAAACATTTTAAAACAAACTGTCTTTTATACATATGGAGGCAATATGGTGTACTCATTATGGTTATGAGCTCTGGTTTTAAATCCTAGCCCTGCCACTTTCTAGCTGTGTAACCTTGGTCAAGGTACTTAAATTCCCTGTACCTCAAATTCCTCATGTTTAAAATGGCCCCGAATAACATTCCCTTAAATACCACCATGATTTGCAAAGAGGCCAAGGATTTCTGCCCAGCCACATGAAAGTAAAACAATGAAGAAAGATCATTAACTTGAAAGCCAGTACTGGCTTTAAGAGAGGAAAGTGGTGGTTCAGTGGTAGAATTCTTGCAGGAGACCCAGGTTCGATTCCCGGCCAGTGTACCACATGCACAGCCAGTGGAGGATTGCGTGTTGCTAGGATACTCAACAGGTTTTCTTGGCCCTTCCAGGCTAAGACAGACTAGGAAGAAAATCAGCCAGTGAAACCCTATGGATCACAAATGGTCCAATCTCATTGTGCATGGGGGTCTCCGTGAGTCAGGGGCTGACTTGATGGCAGCTAACAGTAATAACAACTGGCTTTAAAAATGTGCAACTTATATAAAACTTGCAGGAGAATCTGCCTCGATAAACTTTGAGCTTATTCCATAACATTTCTGAGAAGTAGTTAGCCCTCAGTTACATTTTTTTAAAAATTAACACGTGAATTATTTCAGAAGCGGGTGCTGGCTAACATTTGTATACACTGTGTCTTCTGTACGTATTTATGGCAGTTTGTTTTCTTTAGTATGTCTTTGAGAACTTGCTTTTGGCAATGGCAGCTTTGCTAAAGCTGTACATTTTTAGGAGCAAGACCCCAAATTGCTAGGGATTGCGGTAGTTAAGGAGCCCCACTGCTGTTTTTCCTCCCCCTATCCTATCCACACTCTGTTATTTCTTCTATTTATATCGTCTCTGGCTCTGCTTCCACAAAACCAAAGTTCTCTGGTGGGTTAAAAGTTTAGTTGCAATGTTCCCTGAATTAACGATTAGACTGAAGTTTCCTTGGCTTTGTCCAAATGTAAATCCCCTATTTCTGTACTTTGCTTTCTGTCTTCAGGTACACGGGAGGCTCTTCTACCATCTGTCTACCTACAATCTGATCTGGGTCATGGTAGCCGTGGTGCTGTGCAGGGCGCAAGGTAAAGGTGCTCGACTCCCCTGCGAACACCGTGTCTGCGGCAAAGGCCTCAGGCCGCTGTTGTTCGCACCGTGCTGGCTCCATCTGTCTGCGTCAATCATTCACACGTGCGATTTGATTGGAGGCTCACTTCCGCTTTCCACATTTTTATTTTTAATGTCAAGAACACTTTGGTATTTAGAAGCCGTTTCCGTAGATGAACCAGACTTATATATATATATATATTTAATGTATATATTATTAATATAAATATATATAAATATATATATTGGAGCCCTGGTGGCTCAGTAGTTAAGAGCTCAGGCTGCTAACCAAAAGGTTGGCAGTTCAAATCCACCAATCACTCCTTGGAAACCGTATAGGGCAGTTCTACTCTGTACTATAGGGTCGCTATGAGTTGGAATGGACTTGACAGCAACAGGTATATAACAGGTATGTGTATATATAGATAGATACAATCTCTAAATGAAACCAATATTTTTTCACCTATCAAATTGAATAACTTTAAAAAATAATAATGCCCTGTGTTTGTAATGAGGGTGCTCAGGGAAGTATGAATGCACGCAACCTTTTTAGAAAGTAATTTGGAAGTATGCCTTAAAGTTGGGTGTGCCCCTAGTTACAGACAATTTTGAAAAATATGGAAATATAAAGGTTATGTCAGTTCACTTCTCTATTGTGTAGAAAACGTGCCTGTGCCATCTGCTTGTCTGCCATTTCCCAGTTGGGCCAGACCTCCCTCCTGCATTCCTCCGGAAGCCCCGCCTCACCTGGCTGCTGGCCTTTCTTTAATCCCTTCCCTGGGTGTCTGCGGAGGCCTTCACGCTGGTGAAGGAAGGCAGCTTTCACACCCATCTACGAGCTTGTTCTGCAGTACTCGCCACAGGATTGACAGACAGGCTTGGGACATCTAAATGCAACTCCATATAAGCAGCAATGATAAACGTTCCACTAAATGATTTCTTCCAAAGTCTAAGAGAAAATCACCCAAGAAGTTAACCCCTAACTTCAATCTCCTGTTCATGGTCCATTCTAAAAGCATTAGTTTCTGCAAAATCTTGACACACTTTCCTGGAAACTCCAACCTCAACAGCAGGTGTTGTCTCCATCTTCCAAGAGAACACATCACAAGAATTGGAGTTATGAAGCCCTCAGGGTTCCAGGGTGTATGTGTTGTTATGTCTGCATGTTCATCCCTGATATTGTCGGAGGCAGGGGTGGTGTGTTTATACTGCCTTCTTCTTCTTTTTTTTTTTTAATTACACTTGCCAATATTTTATCTATACTATTAGTCTTCAAAAACTCATACCAGATTTTTGTACTTTTGATCAAGTCTTAGATTTTGTGTATGATTTCGTTAATGTATGCTTTCATCTTTATTAATTCACTTCTAACTTGGGGGTATTTGCATGTATGTATTATTCATTTTTCAGTCTCTCTTAGTTCTTAAGAAATACAGTTAGGGTTAAACATTTCCCTCTGAGAACTGCTTTACCTATTTCCACAGATTGTAATATATTATACTCTGATTGTCATTTAGCTCTAAGAATTTATAATTTCCATTATGATTTCAATTTAACCAGAGTTGAAAGAAGTATGCAAATTTCTATTCTGCTACACTACTATTAAAGTACTGACCAGACATTTGAACCTACATGTCTCTAGCAACCTCAGGAATATTGATACATGTCACTTTCTTCGTGTCCCTCTTTATTGTTTCTATATTTCACTTTGAACATGCCTTACCTTTGTAATCAGAAAAATATGTGTTTGCTTGTTTATTTATTTACTTATTTAAAGTTTTAAATTATAAATGCTTTTTCTCATAGGGCTAGTGGTGACCCAGGATGAAAAAGAGCGGTTGAACACACCTGCTTCCTTAAGATGCTCTCTGCAAACTGACCAGGAAGTCTTGATTGTGACATGGCAGAAAGTGAAGGCTACAAGCCCAGAAAACATGGTCACCTTCAGCAAGAACCACGGAGTTGTGGTTCAGCCTACCTATAAGGACAGGGTAAACATCACACATCCGGGACTCAGAAACACAACCTTAACCTTCTGGAATACCACCCTGGAGGATGAGGGGTGTTATATGTGCCTCTTCAATATCTTTGGTTCTGGGAAGATCTCAGGAGAAGCTTGCCTCACTCTCTATGGTGAGTATCTCTGAGAATACATTGTCTCTGGCTGGAAATATTATTTTCAAGAATGCTTAGAACATGGTTGCTGTGCCTAGTTTTTCTGGGTCCTAACCACATAAAAGTGAGCCTCCCATGTCTACTGTAGCTGTGGTTATGGTTACTGGAGAGTTCATGGGCTACGTTCAGATCTTTGCCTGGAGCTGTCTTTGCTCTGAGGAGTCCCTGGGTGGCACAAACAGTTAAGCACTGGACTACTAGCCAAAAGGTTGGCAGTTTGAACCCACCCAGAGGCTCCTTGGAAGAAAAGCCTGGCAATCTGCTTCTGAAAGGTCACAGCCATTGAAAATCCTATGGAGCCGTTCTATTCTGCACACATGGGGTCACCATGAGTCAGAGCTGACTCGACGGTGACTAACTACAACGATCCTGGGAGATCCCACTGTCAGCAAGAGTAAATTGAGGACGATGGTGAGCACACGCTCTCCGTAAGCAGCAATATGGTCCACACCCGGCTTTGCCACTGGTGGTCACGTGGCCCTAGAAGGGTCTAGCTATTCTTTGCCCCTGAGTTTCTTTATCTGCACAACTAGTGTAAAATAGATAATTTCTAAGGTCCCTTAAAGCTTTGTGAGTATTTTGAAACAAAGGACAGAGTCAAATCGGGCTAACTCAGAGAGCTGGTTATGGTGGTGGCTTCTCATTTTGCTTCAGGGTAGCTGTCTTGGGATTGGTAAAGAGAAGTGCAGAAAAGGCTTATCATACCTGAAATGAAGCCAGCTTATAATGTGACTGAATAAGAAGCATTCTTTTAAAATCCAAGCAGATAGGTTTGATGAGATTCTGAGATTAAGGATCGAGGAGTAGGAATAAGGAGTAAATTTAATGCATGGAACACTTGGTGGTCATCTTAGGAGAAGAAAGACAAGCTTCGACAGGGCTATTAAGAATGTTCAAGTGAGAGTTTGAGCACTCCAAGAATATTGGACATGAGGGAAGAGGAGGTTTATTGTTAAGAGTGCAAGGCAGGTATTATAACACCAAATACACGTTTCTTTCACTTGTTCTGCCTATAATGAGTCCTCTGTGCAGGATCTTATGCCCAGCTTTCTTCTTGATTTTGACTTCTCTCATTCATTCATTCTGTTCCACCTCCATTCTCCTTCCTTTCCTCCCTCCCTCACTCCCTTTTTTCTTCCTGTCTCATTTTTCTCCGTTTCCTTTCTTTTGTCATATTTTATTGTTTCTTTTCCTTTTTCCTTTCATCTTTTTTTCTCATCTTTCTCTTTCTCTTACTCACTCCTTATCTCATAAGCTTCCTTCTTATTTTTATCCCCAAAACCAGAGTCATCTGAGTCTTCTAGCTGGTAATCCTGTTGTTATCCTTATCTTGACCCTTTTCAGCCACAACCTAAAGCTTTCATCCAAGTCACTCTTTGCTACACCTAAGGACCCTGACCCCCAGCCAGGCCACATCAGCCATACTCTTCTGCCTTTGTTTTTATCCCTCTTCCTCCAGTGCACATGGATGCCAATAATCTGGACACTCTTTGCACAGAACCACAGTCCTGTAGCCCTATTTCCCCCACCCTACTGCACCCTCCTAGAATATATAAGCACAGACTATGCTTTTGTTTAACAAGACTCTTTAATTATCTTGTGGACTCCAAAGCCAACCACAGAAAGACAGGTCTGCGTTTGCTCAGCAGAGATAAACTATAGGTTCCAACAAAAATGAACTCATTAATCTCTTTTAAAAGAGAGCAGGCTGGAGCTGGCCTGAAAATAATACCCTTTTCTCATAAGCTAGTTATTTACTCTTGACTCCAAGGTTGTCCCAGCTGTCATTTGCATTTTGTGTGATCTTCCAAACAGGAATTTTCCAAATGACCTCCATGCATCTCATTCACTGGGCCAACTTCAAGCAGAGCACAGCTGTCTTTAAGCAGCAGCCCCTCTATGGGGTCTCTGTGCTGGTGCTTCTGCCCTGGTGCTTCTAAGAGGCGTGGGCTGCACGTATGGAGGTGCTGGTCAGGGATGATTGTCAAGCTGTTTGAGCAGAATACCTAGTATAAGGCAGAGTTCCTGCATTGCCCATGGAAAAGAATAGAATAATTAAACTCTGAACTGCTTGGGAGAGAAGAATATTAACTGACTTCTCAATATCTTGTCTGCATCCAGATAATTCTCCTAGGGACACATTTTGAAGAGGGTCTGTCTCATCCCAGGGTTGTACTAGGTCAGTCTCCATCCTGCAGGTCAGAGATTTAGACACAGAAAGAACTGGGAAGGCCCCAGTTTGGGTGGGACATGCTACCTTGTCTTTCTAGCCACGACTGTCTGTCTGTAAGGCTCTTTCCCTCATTTCTGAGGAGAGTACAAGGCCTGACCAGGTGTGTAACTGATGGCAGACCATAATTTTTTTTTGTCCCAGTACAGCCCACAGTTTCCCTTCACTACAAATTCTTTGAAGACCACTTAAATCTCACCTGCTCTGCCACTGCCCGCCCAGCCCCTGTGATCTCCTGGAAGGTGGCTGGGTCAGGAATTGAGAACAGCACTGAGAGTGTCTCCCACCCCAATGGGACCACATCGGTCACCAGCATCCTGCAAGTCAAAGACCCCGAGAGCTATGTGGGGAGGGAGGTGATCTGCGAGGTGCTGCACTTGGGAACTGTGACTGACGTCAGGGAAACCGTGAGCAAAGGTAAGAGAAGGGAGACAAAGATGGCTGTGATCATGACTGTGTACACACACCTGGAAGGTGATGTCTCTCCTGCAGAGCCCTTCTCCTCTTAACAAGGGAGCTACGTGGGGAGGGAGGGAGATAAGTAGGGAAAGGAAAACAGAATCGTGAAAGCAAATGGAGTGAGTTTTCAGAAAAGTATCCACATACTAAATGCTTTTACTGAGATTCACTCATTCATTCATTCTTGCATTCCAACAACATTTACTGGGTGCCCTTGTGTGCCATGCCCTGGGTTGAACACAGGAAATACAGCAGTGAGCAAGGCTCAGTCCCTGCACTTGGAGAACTTCTCGTCTACCAGGGAATACAGAGACGTAGCTGGGCAACTGTCCAGCTGCGTGTTAAATGCTTTAATAAGAGTGCACAACGGGAGGGCTAGGGAGTGGGGAAGGCAAGCTCAATTTTGAGGGATTGGAAAAATTTCCTGCCAGTGACATCTAGGATGAAACCTTTAAACTGTGGGAAGGGGGCCGACCTAAAGGTGTCCTCATCACCGCTTTTAAACAAGCTGCCTCCTATTCAAGCCCCCTTTGCTCTCTCTGTTTCTATCTTAACTGCTGGCTCTGGACCTCGTCGACACAAGACGTGACATTATGGGAGAGAATAGAATCAACAGTGGTGTTAGAGATAAGATGTTCTAGAAATAAGAGCAACAGTTTTCTTTCCCTTTGTAGTTCTGAAGTGCTCACTCTGGATGAAGCACTCAGTAACAAGCCTCCTAAAAAATCTTGCTGCTCTTTTTTTTTGAAGCGGAGGGGTGGGGTGGCGTTTTGAACAGCAAACCCGGGAACACCTTCCCGCATACGCTTACTGGGTGCAGTAGCCTCTAAGGAGTATCTCGGATGGGCATTTCTGGTGTCCCTGAACAAAAACCAGACTAATCAGAAAGTGGATATTTAGGTAAATCTGGCCAAAAAGTTTGCACTGTTACATTTGGACACTTGTAAAGAGATCCTTGGGGGCAGTGGTCGTTCAGTGGTAAAATTCTCACCTTCCATGCAGGAGACCCAGGTTTGATTCCCGGCCAATGCACTTAAGTGCAGCCACCACTTATCTGTCAGTGGAGGCTTGTGGGTTGCTATGATGCTGACACAAGTTTCAGCAGAGCTTCCAGACTAAGATAGACTTGGAAGAACGGTATATTTATTGACTATTGAAAAGAGATTTAATAACAAAGTACTAGATTAGAAAAAAATGCAATAAAAATATTAACATGGATTATTTCTCGGGATTGGGGTCATGAGAGTCATGGTTTTATCCTTTACGCTCTCTGGATATTCCAAATTTTCCTCAATAATAAATATGTATTACTTTAGTGGATTCTATAGAAGAGAATATGTGCTTTGGAGGCAAACAGACCTTTGACCAAGCCTGGGCTACATCATTTACTACTGCATGACTTTAGCTCACTTAATGTCTCTGAGCCTCAGTTTTCTCATCTGTTAGATAAGGATATGGATAATAATACCTAACTTTTAGGATATTTTGTGGATTAACTGAGATAACACATGCAAAGCTGTTATTACATGGTGGTCACAAAAAGCATACTATTATTATTATTCAAATGTTATTAAGATAAAATGAAATCATGAATATAAACCACAAAACCTATGTGTTTAAGGATAATTTTAATTGAAAGTTCAACTCTAGCAAAAACTCATCACAACAGTTGCTTTGTCACTTTTTGCCTCTTGTGAAAATTCCTCTGGTGACTTTGTTTTCCTTTTTCTCACTTCAATATCCATAGGCTTTTGGTTTTCGGTTCCTCTATTGCTAAGCATTCTGTCCCTGGTAATTCTTCTGGTCTTAATCTCAATCTTGTTATACTGGAAACGTCGCTGGAATCAGGACCGGGGTGAGTCATCACAGGAGTACAAAGAAGGAAACAAGTTAAATGATGTTTTAAGTCGATTTGGGGGTCATTTGAAGATACTCGTAAGGGGCTGGCAATGGTATGTTTTGTTTGTTTTTTCTAAAATACGTACCTGATGCTGTTTCCAAAATGCTTAGGGTCATTTTTTTTTTTTTGCAATGGGACATTAAATTGGATATTTCTGTTTTTCATTTGCCAAAATGTTTTAAAGGCTATTTTGTTAGTTGCAAGTAAGTGTTGATAAGAGGAAATGAAGAAGTATTTATCCCATCAAAATGGAATCATCTAATGGCAGAACCCAGTGAAAAAGTCTTAGCACTCACGCAGAGTGCCCCACACCTGCTAATGAGAAGGACAAGCTCTTCTCTTTTTATAGCATTCCACAGGCCAGTTATCCATGTAAGAGATTTTTTTGTGGAATTGTCCAATATGATCACTCACTAAATAGCGCTTTCTATGCTATACTCCCACTATGTCTCAGACCCTGAGACAACATACAGGTAATCCACACTTATAGTATTCTGTGTCATGCCATTCTGCCCTTTAGGACTATACATTTTTCTCTATCCCTCACACATCTATCATGGTGCCCAGTAGATGTTCATTAAAAGAGTGAATGCATGAATGAATTAATGAATAAATGGATGGATAGATTTTCCAAGTGATTTTTTCAATTTCGCTTTTCCTGTTGTCAGTTCAGCACCTTAAAAATGCCAGTGGGTGCAAAATATTGTGAGACACTGTGTCATGGATTGAATTGTGTCCCCAGAATATTTGTCAACTTGGCTAGGCCATCATTCCCAGTATTGTGTGATTGTCTACCATTTTGTCACCTGACAGGATTGTTCTATGTGTTGTAAATCCTGTCTCTATGATATTAATGAGATGGGATTATCAGCACTTACGTTAATGAGGCAGATTCAATCTACAAGATTAGGTTATGTCTTAAATCAATCTCTTTTGAGATATAAAAGAGAGAAGCGAGCACAGAGACATGGGGAACTCATACCACAAAGAAAGTAATGCCAGGAGCAGAGTACATCCTTTGGGCCTGGGGTCCCTGTGCCTGAGTGGCTTCTAGACCAGGGGAAGATTGATGACAAGTACCTTTCCCCAGAGCTGACAGAGAGAGAAACCCTCCCCTGGAGCTAGCACCCTGAATTTGGACTTCTAGCCTCCTAGACTGTGAGAGAATAAATTTCTCTTTGTTAAAGCCATCTACTTATGGTATTTCTGTTACAGCAGCACTAGATAACTTAGACACACCATAAAACAAGATACACTGTAAAACAAGAGGAGTGAGAGCTATAGCTCTGCCTCTGTAGAGGGAGAGATAATTAAATTTCTTTGGTTCCTGAAGACAGTGCATAATTTTTTAAAGTGAGTAAGATCTGTCATTCATGTGTATGTAACGAGAATTTCCTAGGTTCAGGAGTGATCTGCAGGTTTCCTTTGTCTCAGATGACTAAAGGTTAGGAGTCAGTGGCATGAACAATGTTGACTTTGAGTATTATTTTAGGTTTTTATTAAAAATCTGACTCCAATGCTACCCCCCCACTGTATGTTTAATAAACTAATGTCTTTCATGTTCTAGGTTCTGTGAACACTTTATGTTGCATAAACCTTATATAAACACCAGATTAATTACTGTAAAACCAGCCACAAATCTTCAGTGTCAGTAACCCTTTTGCTAAAGTACATTAAGCTATTTGTTCTGCGAGAGAGGGGAGTACAGATCAAATAATCTTTTTGTGCATAAGCATAAGCTCGTAGAGTTCATATGCACTCCAGAGGCAGGAGGGCTGTTTACTTTATCCAAACATTTCACTTTTCCTGTTGGAAACTGAGGCCCAAAGAGAGAAGGTGACTTCCCTAAGGTCACACAGCTAGTTAACAGCAGGCCTAGGACTAGAACCCTGGTCTCCTGACCTGTGCCAGAATGTTCTTCCAGTCATCACTGATAGCCCTATAGTGCTGACTTGAAAGGAGTTATTAGTTGTATTTTTTTAGCCTGTGCTTGCTGTTACTACTCTATTCTTTTGGAAAGTGAAAGCAGACAAGTATAGCATTTTAAATTTATTTTGAAAAGTCCCTCTTGGACTAGAGTCTTCTAATGTAATCTATTCAAGTTCAAGGTAAGTTACACTAGAAAGGGGCGTTTGCAAAAGAATTGCCGTTTGTTCCTTAAGCAAGTCTTGAATTTTCTGAATACACTTGTTAAATGTATTATCAAGTTCTTGAAGCCAAAAAAAAAATCAACTTATCTCTGCACTCGACCTTCCTCTTATTTATAAAATAAACATCTGGACTTGTGTTAAATCTTGTAAGCGCAGGAGTGTCGTTTACTGATTGTGTTTTCATGACATACGGACAATTCAGTTAAGTTCACTGACTGTTCAATGGCATATTTTGAGTGAGTGGGTTTTTGACTGATTTCAAAAATTTTAACTGCCAGATAACCTGGTCCCATATAGCCACAACTAGTAAAACAAAATATCAGTTATGGTGGAGATGTAAACTCGCAGGACTGAGAAAAATCCTGGCTCATTAAGACCAAAATTTAAGTTATACGAAGAGTTGGGAGAAAGAGAAGAAAATCGTAGACATATTTGGGGGACACAATTCAATCCATGTCACAGTGTCACAATCTTTTGCACCCACTGGCATTTTTAAGGTGCTGAATTGACAATAGGAGAAGCTAAATTGAAAAAATCAGTTGGAAAATCTATCCATCCATCTATTCATTAATTGAAGTAACAAATTCTGATTGTCAGTTTATGAGTAAAGGAAATAGTTCTACTACATTTGCCTTCCATCCTTCAGTTCCCTTACTTGGTTTTGTTTCTCTTACTCTTTCCACCATTTCCTGAAAGAAAACATAACACTTTTGGATGGGCAAGGAAACGTGCAGTACAAGGTGTCACCAAGGTTCTGAGCCTAGTGACCTGAAAAATGATGAACTTGACCAAGAAATAGGGAAGTGAGGAGGGGAACCGAGTGGGTGTGCCCGTGTGTGTGCCTGCGTGTGTGTGTCCGTGTGTGTGTGTGTTTTCAGGGGTTGTAGGGAGGGGGAGAAGGGGAATGA